CTTGACCACAGTCACAGTCTAACCTGTGTGGTTGTGCCAGGATTTCAATCCAGATCTCTCCCACTCAAAATTCATGCACTTAACCACTGTGTAGTTTTAAGCTAGATAACATGGAAGTATGTTTAAATATATGAGTATAAATGCAGGTATTATGAATCCTTAAATAAAAGAGGTCAGGTTAATGCCAACTCCTACAATGTAGATGTCCTAGACTGAATAAAGCAGTTTTCTAAAATCCTGCATTTACAACAGTGAAATAGGTCAGGTGGCTGCAAGAGCTATGGTGAACCTTAAAGGTACTTTAACTATTAGGGCAAGGGAGTATACATTTTAGTATTTGTACTAAAACTAACTCATGAATTAATGATTCTTGGTATAGAATGTTAAAACATTATTGGTGATCCATGTTACAAAATTTTGCTTTTTCTAGCAGAATGCCAGAATAGGTTGGCTCTTTGACTAGAAGAAATTTCATGGGAATTCTGCTTTAAGTGGTCTCTGAAAACATTCATCGGAAAATAGAAATAGATAATAACTTTTTACAATACAGCATAGTGATTAAAGGTTTGGAGCCAGACCCCTTGGCTCTCCTTCTACTAGTGTTGTGACCTCAGCAAATTCCTTAACCTTTCTGCCTTGGTTTCCTCATATGCAAAGTGGGAATAACAGTAGTACCTTTGGCAAAGCAGTGTTGTGAAGACTGAGTCAATAAACATAAAGCACTTAGAGCCTGGCACAGCAAGTGCTGTGAACACATTGGCCACACATTGTGGTCTTGTTGCTGTTACCATCACTTCAGAGGTAGTGAGAGTCTTTTAAATTGTAAATGCCCCCAGATGTGATAAATCATTGCACAGAGCTTTTCAGAAACTGCCACTTAAGTGAGGGCCCGTTGAAATATCTAGCAGGCGGTTGCTGTGTGCAGACTTCTGGGGAGGGCACTGGGGACCCATCCAAAGAGAAGAGGGAATTAAGGGACTCATACTTGCCAGATGCCTGCTGTACACCAGGTGCTTTATGCACAGAAGGTTATACACCTAAAAATCCTCCTGAGGCAAGAGAGCAGAATGAAGCTGCCTTGTGTCACACCTGGGATGGCAGGCTGTGCTCTCCAGGACTTCCACAGTTTCCAAGGCAATGGGGCGCTGCCCAGTGAGGGAGGCGCCCCGTCTGTGTGGAACCAGCATTTTGGCCCCAACACACTTAACTTTGCACATCGGAATCTGATCTGCAGGGTGCTCATGGAGGCAGCTTCTCCCATGCCCCACTCCTTAAGGGCCCCCACGAAAAGGCAGGGGTTGGAATCAGCAGCCTCCAACCCACAATATTATACAGGCGTTGGGGATGTGAGAGCTGAAAGGCACTCTCAAACAGCACAAATGCAACGTGGCTGTAAAGAGATCAATTTGAAGAAAAATACACTCAGAAAACAAACAAACAAGCCCTCCCATATGAGCCAGGAGGGAAGACCTCTGTGGACTAAGTGACAAAATGGGGGAGCACATTTTGCAAAAAATAGGAAAACTAGTCTCCATGAAGCTAACCAAAGACGTTGACAAGCCCAAGATTCCAGGTAGGTCTAAATTAGAAAACAGCCGAGGGAAAAACAGTGATGAAGCCCCCAATGGATTCTAGTGAGAATTCTTTAAATTCATGGCCCAGCAGAGCAGCAATAGAAGAGGGTCTTCACTGAGCATGGGGATGGCTCAGCTCTGCTTACTAGAAACGAGCTGGTAAGGTTGGGGGCTGGGAATCCCTTGGGGACAGAATGCCTGCCTACTTGACCTCAACCCTTGATGACTCTCGCTTCCATCTCTTGGCCATCTTTCTCCCCTTTCCTTTGTCTTTCTGGACCCTCAGCAGCTCTGTGAACCTGGGCTGATCTCCACTCACCCTACCCACCCCATGAACCAGGACCTCAAGAGGCAAGGCTCCTGGCGGTACTGCTGTCATGCTCCTGCTGGTTGTCTGGAGGAAAGAGCCAGGCCTGGTTGCGGCTTTGGTTGAAGGTCATTTTCCCACAGATCCCCCTTGGCATGATGCTTTTGCCTCATTTGTCTCTGTGCCTTTGGCTCTCAAATCTCAAAGTCTTAATTAGATTGTGTTTACATTTGCGCCATGCACGTGGCTTGGCGCTTGAAGACTGGGTAAAGAGTTACGCAAATATTTAGAGAATGCCGGAGGGGGAAGAGTGCTTGGAGACGAGCTGCACCAGGATCCTCACTTGACTTTGCTCTTGCATCTGTCTTAGGAAGCCGCGGCCCTGCAAGTGGGAGAGACAGGCAAAAGGACAGCTAATGTCACGTTTTCCCTCCCGGGACAGAGGGGCGAGAAACCACCAAAGGGCTGTTGTGGAAATCAGGATGGATGAGAAAAGCACGCTTCTGTCATTGGATCTCATTTCATCTGTTAACCTGGAGGAGTGGCAAACCCTCTTTCTGCCAAGCTCCTCAGCAGCCAGGTGGGCTACCCAAACAGAATTGCCTCTGGGCTAGAGCCGTCGCTGCTGGTCTCTGAGTACCACGCTGGCCTCAGGGATGTACCAGGCCTTTCTTGAACTGCCTCCTAGGCCCAGGGAGTCACAATTGAGAAAATGTATGTGGAAGCCCCTTACACTGAAGTTCACCCAAACGAAGGGGGATGCTACCGCATCGTGTCTCCTGTGGCCCCCAACCCATCAGTAACACCAGACCTTTCTCCTCTCCACCCGGTACTTGTGCCAAGTGACAGGGGCCTGTGGCAGAGCAGCCATGGCCAGCGTGGCCCAGCTGTGCCAGTTCCCTTCCCTCTGAAGGTGACCTGTGCAGTGCTTGTCCTCTTTAGCATTGTTTTAAGTTGCTGGTGTTCAGAGTGAGTTTGTCCCTGCCACGTCTTTCTCTTGTTTGGAAACAGTGAGGGTCTGCTCAGCACTACCTCTGAGCATTAAACGCCACAGTGCCTGCTGAGCATGCTTCCCTGCCCTGCAGTGACCCAGGCTCAGCATCTTTTTCAGGCTCTGGGAAGCTCGTATTCTGCTGATTAACAACTCGTGGCCACTATAGCATCATGGAAAACACCTACATCCTACCACATGAAAATCACAGCTTTGGGCTTCCTTGAACTACATGCCACTCAGGTGTTTTTGCTTTTGGAAAGGTTCTGTAAATGTAATGCTGAATGTCTTAAAGAGCCATGGTTACCTGGCAAATGTTTAGTTTCAGCTTCTCCAGCACACCAAGATTCACAGTGCCTTGCCACCGATTTGTTGCTGACATCACACTGCAATCATCACTCTGCTGGCTGAAGTCCGGAATTGGTTTTAGTGGTGTTTGCTGTCAATGGGGGCATTAAAATGGTGTTGGAAACTCACCCCACATAGCAACGGCATCTTTTCACATAAGTTTTGCTAATTGGCGTTCTAGATATGGATGTGCTTTTGGAAACAGAGCCTCATAACGGAAAAACAAATGCGTCCTCTGAGACCAGCTCACTGGGGACGGGGATGGAGGGACTTAGGAAGGTTTGACTTGCATTCCTCTGGTGTCTGGGGGTGCACTGTGTGGTTTTTGTGGGGCCTGCCCGCGGGACTAGTCTCTAAGTCGCAGGAAGTGGTGGTTCTTAAGGAGTCACTTAGGCTGGTCAGGCCCCACGGTTTGAGCTTTCTTATTTCATCTTCTTTCTAACAGATGACCCCAGCCTGAAAACTTCCCAGAATTCAGCTCCTGTCTCTGTAACCGTGATACCAGCTCCAACCGATGAAGCATTGCTTCAGCCATTACAGGTGGCAAGCCAATGCTGCCAGGCGAGTATCAGTCATGGAAAAAGCTTCAGCCTTCTGTGTGTTAACACCACCAGCCTGGCACACCAGCTGTAATGGCACCACCTGGGACTAGTTAGGAATGCCATGAAAGCTTGACCCACCCTCGGCTCGGGAAGACAGATTTGAGTGCTGTCTCCTGACCAGTCGACTCATGATAAAGCTTTCTTTTTTCTTTTGTCAGAGTCAGTGCTATGACATTGACCTCTGTGCACATCGAGCAGCAAGCTCTGGTAACATCTCTATGAAGTGATATCTTTCACCATGTACATGTGAAGTCCTAATGGTGTCTGTCTTCTTTGGAACAGGAGACTGCATGCCCAGGATGGCTACAGCTCTGTCCCCTTGCAGCTATGGTGCTGCGAAGCCTGGGAACTCTTTCATTGCTACTTCACTTACACCTGTGTTAAACTTGCCCTATCCCTGCTGGATACTTTCTGAACTCAAATATGATCCTGAATTTGATGGGTACAGCAGGCGGGAGCTGCTGACAAGAGCTCTCTGCCTCCCCCACCAGCTCTCCCTCTTGGGGAAGAGTCCTGGGACCTGTATGAAGTTACCTACATGGGCTTTGAGAGCAGATAGGCCTGCTCTGAAACTCAGTTAGTTACTAGTTGTGTGGCCATAGGCAAATAACCTCTCTGTGCCTCAGTTTCTTCAGTGAAATGAGGCCAGGAGGATTAAATGAAATGCTGATTGTAGGTGCTTACCCCAGCGCGGCACACAGGGCATGCCAGCACTGTTGGCTGTGCATGTCAGATCAGTTCACCTCTGGCCTGCAGCTCGTCCCTTCTCACTCCATGGGCCCTTTGACCTGTCTGTTCTACTGTATGTCCTCCTTCCTTGCCTTGACATGTAAACATGATGTTTGGCTCACCCATTTGGAACATCCCTCCCTTGGCCTGGGCCTTTTCTGCTTGCGTCCTCGATCTTGTTTCCCCCTCTCTCCTGATTCTACCTCGGTCCTCAGCCTCCTTACCAGTCTTCTGGCACCTTCTCCTGAGTTCGGTGCACAGACTCGTGCCCAGGCACCAGGGTTCTCCCACCTGGCCACCCCGAAGACTGTAGTCTTCAGCTGACATGATCTCTCCAGCAGTGAGCTGCCCTCCACAGTCCCCCCAGCACCCTGCCCAGGGCCGAGTGCACTGTTCTTCACACCAGGACCAGGGCACCCGGCCCAAGCTGCAAATCAGACCAGGACACATTACCAGTGAAAGTGTTTAATAGTTAAATTATTTAAATAGACTTTTCCATTTCCATGGGAAATCATAATCGTATCCGTTTTGCAAGAGCAGGAATAAAAAGAGTGCACACCCCTTAGAGGGAACCAAGAGCTAGCACTGCACGTGGCCACCAGTCACTGCTGGGATGGGGAGGGGCCTCCAGGAGGCCAGGAGGCCACAACCCACAGGGGAACATGGGGTAACTCAGCACGCACACTTTACTCAGGCTGGAAGCAGAACAGAAACCCAACACCATGGCGGGCAATGTGGAGGGCAGGGAACTCGAGAATGACACCCAGGGGCAGCCGGCCCCCGGCAGTGGCAGCAGGAAGGGCAGTGCGGAACTCAGAGGATGGAGCGGCAAGAGCTGGACACTCAGGCTTGGCAGTTTTGGGTTCTCACGCTTTGCTTCTCAGAGCTGTGTTCTCACTGGGGTGGGAGTCGGCACGTGGGGAGGGAAGGGTGGCGCAGGGGGACACCAGAGTGACATTCCAGCAGCTGTCACAGAGCTGCCGCCTCACCGCCTTCAAGCCGGTCTTGGAGGCGAGGGAAATTCTGCCCTGAGAAGCAATGAAAAGAGCTGGGCATGGGCCCTAAGGGTCTGCTTGAAATTCTGTGATGGTATATGCTTTTTCAAGCGCTTCCCTCACAGCTTATTAAAAAATCGTCTTTTCTTTCTCAGTATCTTCAACTGTTCCCTCCCCTCAATTCTGTTAGCTTTTCTCTAGGGACTCTAGGGGGGTGCTACCCATCCCTCTGTCTGGTTTGCAGGTGGAGGGCCAAGCCACCCCTCCCCCAAACCTGAGGGCTGCACATTGCATCCCCACGTCTGAGGGATCGTCTCTGGGGAGACCTGCCTGTACTTGGAGTGACTGAGAAGGCAGGCAGGCTAGGCTTCTTCACCACCCGCCCCACCCGGCAGAGCACCCAGCCAGCGGCCAGCTCTCGAGTCCACGGGAGCTGCCTCTGCAGGCAGCAAACGTCGAAATGTCAGCAGTCGAAGGGTGGACGGGGCCACCTGCCTGCCGCAAGCTGAGGCTTGGCTTGGCTTCCCGTGGTTCCAGCTTAGCCTGAGATGGGAAAGAAGCTTTCTGTCTTCTTATCATTCCTTTTACATTTTACTAAGGGAAGTGGTGTGTGTGTGTGTCAGAGAAAGATGGGGTGATGTGTCCACCCATCTTCCTCCTCCATCTGAGCATATGATACCCCCAAAGAACACACCCCCTACTCTGGCTGTGCTTGGGAAAACCAAAAACTGCCAAATCTGAAACGAGGGGAAGGCATCCTGTGTGAGACCAGTCCCACGGCATGAACACGCACATATACACCAGCATATACACCGACACACGTACAGTACAAATGAGCACAAACGCCCCGCTGTGCACAGCTGTTTTCTAATATAGAGAATTTACAAAATATAGAATTTGGCATATCTGTTAGATCTCCAAGGTTTTCAATAATACAAAATAAAAAATACAAAAAAGACAAGTTGGGATCCCCACCCCCCCTCCCCAGTGACATCTTCATTTGCTGTGTGTTTCTTACACGCATACAACTAGCATAGTCTAAAGAAGGGCACAGAGAATGTGTTTTGTTTTATTTAATAAATACTTCCTTTTTCTCAGAACCACTACTCCTTGCTTGGCGTCCTCTCGCCTCCCCCTTGTAATTAGTTCTGTTTCCCTCCCGTGTGCGTGGAGGTGTGGGCACGAGACTGTGATGAAGGCCACTGTCCTTCCAAAGCCGGCATGCCTGCCCGAAAGCCCCTTCATGGCACAGGGTCACGGCCTCTGTCTGCAGTTTAAAGGCTCGCATAGAAAAGCAGACCCCTCAGAGTCCCTAGGATTCCCCAGGCCAGAGTGGAGCCTGCCTACCCCCAGCCAAGGCTGGCCTCTCCCTCAGCCTGTCCTGGTGCCCCCGGGCCACACCACACTGACAGACACTCCCGTGGCTCCTTTCCACCCGTGCAGCAGCACCTGTTAGAAAACTCAAGATTCAGACTGAGTCTAGCGGAGTCTTCTACAGAGGGAAACATCTTTGGTCAGCTTGGTGCTTGCAGGACGCTGGCACCCTGGGGCCTGGGACGGAGGCCGCTGCCCACCAGCAAAGGCAAAAGCTGCTTCTGGAGTCAAAGTGGAAAATCTCACCAGTGCGGCCGTGTGGGCTGGAGCGCGGGGCTTCCCACTGCCCCGGGCACACAGAGAAGCTGTTTCCATTCTTCTGGAGGCCAGGCTGCCTGGCACTGCTGGCCAGCAGCTGCTAACTGAGCGGGGGCCCTCCATTGAGGAAGTAGGTCATCATCTCGCCTTTGCCCTTGACCTTGACTACGCCCCGGCACTCCAGCTGGTATGTGTTGGCAGCCAGCACCTGGTACATGTCTGTGGTGACCTGCAATGGCAAAGGAGGAGGACAGGCCATGGATGACTACAGCCAGGAACGGCTGTGGGGCAGAGCCACCTCTGACTGCCCAGCCCTGCTTGCCACCCCTGACACAAGAGGAGGGGGGCAGCTCCCCCACTGTGAGGCTCTTGGGGACCAACAGCTGCTCACCCGTGGAAAGGCCCCTATGAAAAGAGAGTGATGCCAGCTGCCTCTCTCCGCACCTGCTCCGCGCCAGGCACTGTGACGGGCACTTCGTGTGCTGCTTCAGTGCTACTCAGGGTGGCCTGCAGTCCATGGACTCCCTGTCCTCAGTCCAGGAGCAGAGAATGAGTGCGGAGAAACGTTCACATCACTCTGACTCAGCCCATCCCCACGCATGTCACCAGGGCATTTTACAAAACGATCCCTCCATGACAGATCAGAAGGATTTCTTGAAAGCTGGTTTCTCACCACAGGTAGTTGAGAAGCACTGCTTAGCCCACTTCATCTTTCTATGAGGTACCTACTATAATTATCCTCAGACTCAGAGATTCGAAGCCACTTGCCTGAGGTTACACAGTCAGTGACTGGCAGGGCCTGGATTCTGTTCCAGCTCTTGTTGCCTGGCTGTGTTTTAGCTTTAGGAACAAAGAGGGGAGCTCACCAGTGGCTTCATTAATCACACCATTGCTGGGTGAAGGAAAGAAGCAGTGAGGATGGGCAAAGGGAGTGGCAGGACGGCCACATGCCTCCCAGGATGAGCCCAGAGCCATTGCTGAGCGTGGCCAGAGTGTCCCACACCAGCCAAGCCACAACCCAGCTGGGGAGTGTGAGAGCCAGGAAGGAGAGACAGGGTGCTGGGTGGGCTGCTGGGAGGTGACCTGCTTTGCTATTAGCTGCATTTCCTGTGTGGTGAAGCCCCATGCGAAGGTGAGGTGCTGGGTCATTGTGGTGGCTGCTGACAGACTCCCCCACGCCTGTCTCTGGATGGGACACACATGGCCCTGTCTCCTATCTATTCTCAAGACCCTGCTTCCCATCTTGCCATCCCTTCTCTCCCTGGCGCTGGGATGAAGGTGAGAAAAGACTGTTTGGCCAGGCCCCTTGGCTAGCATCCACAAGCCAGCCAGGACAAGTTGATCTGATCAGGCTGTGCTTGGAGACAGCCCTCTGTTCAGAGGCCCTTCAGGGGAAGAAGTTAGGGGACATTTAAGGGGCATCGGTGCTGGCCAGAGGCCTTAAAAACAGCACAGTCAGCACTTGGGGAAACTGGGGCCAGGGAAGCTGACTTCCTACAGCTTCACACAGAACTTGAGAGGGCGGCAGTGCAGGACTACAGCGCAGTGCAGAGCCTCTACTGTCAGACGGAGAATCGAGGGAGCCGGGAGCAAAACAAAGAAAAGCAGCTGAAGAGCGGAGGGCCCCGGAACCCCAAGCACCAGCCTGCAAGGGAGGGAGCGAGGAGGAAATGCCTCTGGGTGTCTGGCCAGGCCCTGGCCTGTTGAGGCTGGAGGAAGCCCTGTCCTGGGGCCAGCAACCTTCTCTGGCTCTCCTGCACCAGGCCTTGTGTGCTGTGCGGCCTAGTGGGTTAGACCCTGCTCCCTGCAGGCGTTTTCATGTCCTCTCGGTCCTCTATGTCCCAGGTGCAGGAGGTGCTGCGGCCCTTCATTAACTTAGCTTAGTGTCAGCAACGGGATCCACCCCCCACCTCCTGCAATTTCATCTGTGCCCAGTAGAGGGCTCGCACAGTCCTGAAGATCTGTCCAAGGTACCGAGGGCCTGAAACACGTTCGTGCTCTCCAGGCTTCCAAAACATCAGTGCAACTGCCCCAGCACCCTCGAATCTGGCCACAGATATTCTGACAGTGACCTGTGGGTGGCCGCCCTAAAGATCTCTTAGCATCAGACGGAGCTCCCGCTATGGGCGAGGGGGTGGCAGGTGCTTCCGCACTCACCTGGATGCGGTCGGGCACACCCGTGCTGTCCATGCGGCTGGCCACGTTCACCGTGTTGCCCCAGATGTCGTACTGAGGCTTGCGAGCCCCAATCACACCAGCTACCACGGGGCCAATGTTGAGCCCTGCAGGGAACAGGAGTCAGCCACACTCATGAGGTTAATAAACCCAACGCTTGCCTCACTTGCACTCACTGCCATCTATCTCTCCACACACGGCTAGTTCTCCCCTGACTCTTGGCCCAGAGATATCCAGGGTCCTCCAGGCCTGAGACTGTGCTTAAGCCTGCAGCCGCTTGCCCCCACTTGCTCTGCTGATTCAAGATGCCAAGAGCTGTTCACACATCCACGGCTCCTGTGTCATCACCATCCAATCAGTGTTCAGCTCTGCCAGCCCATCACCAAGGGTCACCAGAGACTTCTCCTATAACCTAACTGCCTTTTCCTAATTCTCCTTCTCTCGGTGGCATTTGGGCTTAACATGCAAAGACACACTATCTCCCTTTTCCTTGCTCCACTGTTTCTCCACCGTGCTTTCTTACAGCCTAGCTCTTAACCCATCACCTTGTGCCAGTCTCTTCTCTGAGTCATCCTGCTCCCAGGTTTCTGAGTTAGGGCAGGGACAGAGTAGTGGCTAAGCTCCATCCCATTTGCTCTCTATCTCTCTTCTAGCACATCAGCCCTTATCTCTCCATCCCTCTGCCCTGCCCAAGGTGGCGCTGAGCACCTGTCTCTGAGCCTTTGCTGTGCTGCTCCTCCCTCCTAAGTGTCCTCCTTCCTTCCCTCCAGGCTAAATCCTGCCCTCATGTATATCTGGCTCCACCGACGTTCTCTTGACATTTTCTATCCTGTCTCTATTCCAGGGTGTTCCCTCCTGCTGTGTCAACCATGTCTCATACTGGTCCTTAGGAAGCCTCTCTGTTGCCTCACTGTTTCCTGTGTGAGAGGCAGGACTCAAAACACAGTAGAAGTCCCAAAACAGGCCCGAGATCAGCACCATCATCAGTCCTCAGACCTTCCCTTCGCAACCCTCCTCTCTAGTCCTGCCAAGCTGCAGGCAGCTTTTTATCCCACATGCAGTTACCAGGCTGGACTGTCCATTGCGCTGACCAGATTGAGTTTTGATGACTTCTGACTATTTCCCAAAGCCAAGCCCACCAGGGAAGACAGTCCCAAATCTGTAGGAGGGGATCTGCCACACAGGCTCCCAACTGCCTGCCCAGAAACTCATCTACCTCCTGGTAGGCTCTACCTGCAGTCTCCAGTCCCAGTCCAATAACGGAGTTGAGGCAGTTTACAAAAACATATGCTGGGAGAAAAACACACAAACCAATGCAGGTGGGCAAGACAGGGTGAGAGGAAAACAAGAGTGGCAACATTCCACAAGATCAAGAATGACATTAACGCAGAGACATAGCCGCACATCAGTGGAAGCAGGCTCCCAGCCGGCTCCGCCCCGAGCCTCCAGCAGCCAGTGCCAGATGAAAACCAGGTCGAGCCCACAGGATAAAACAAGCCAGCTCGTTCAGGGAAAGCCCAATTCCTGACACTCGAGCCAGAGCGAAACGTCTCCTGAGGATGTTAATGGACACAATATTGGTTTGTAGGAATCCAATATTTCGGTTTAATGTGCTAATTTTGAGAATTGAAATGCCAGTGTTTTTGTTAGTGAATTAGTATCACTTCTTACAACGTGAAGTCTGACTCATTTGTGGCTGGAAACATACCCAGGGGGTGGAGAATGCACAAAAACCTTGAAAAGAACAAAGGTCTGCTCTTTCCAAAAGCATTCTATACCTCCGCAAGCCTCAAGAGGAGGAAGAGAACAGCACTCGCCCAAGCGAAGCTTCTAGTGCACAAGCAGCTCCCGCTGTGAGGCTGCACATCCTTGGTGCTAAGGACCAATGAGCTGCAGAAATACCCAGAGCTTCATGGAAAAACAGTTCAGAGCTGTCATTCAGCAATCGCTTTGTGGGCACAGTAGCAGGGAGCAAATGGAGGAGTGTGTGCCTGGGATTTCACTTTACTATTCTTTTGACTCTTCTGTAGAATTGAAACTTGCCAAAGTAAAACAGCAAAATTAAACACACAAAAAAGAAAAATACACATGTTTTTGGTTCAAAGATTTTTCTGAACAAGTAGCATATGACTCCCCCCACCCCATTTTTATTTCTCTTTGAGTCAGGGTCTCACCCTGTTGCCCAGGCTAGAATACAGTGGCACCTCAAGGCTCACTGCAGCCTCCACCTCCTGGGCTCAGGTGATCTTTGTGCCTCAGCTTCCTGAGTAGCTGGGACTTCAGTGCACGCCACCACGCCCAGCTTATTTTTTGAGTTATTGTAGAGACGAAGTTTCACTATGTTTCTCAGGCTGGTCTCAAACTCCCAGGCTCAAGCGATCCTCTTGCCTTGGCCTCCCAAAGTGCTGGGATTACAGGTGTGAGCCACTGTGTCCAGCCAAACTGATTCTATTTTGAAGCCAATCAGAGCCCTCTACTCAGAATCCCCCCTGCTGGACACCACAGAGATGTTTGCACAGCTCTCTCCAGCGAAGGCAAGGCATTTGACAAAGGAGTCCAGGAAGACACATGCCCTTCAAATCTCACCACATCCTCCTCACTTTTTCCCCAGTGTGTGTGGACTAGACAAGCCTTCACAGCAGCTAGATCTTGCCCACCGCTTGGAACTCAGCAATCACCCCACTGACCCCTTTTGTTTTTTAAGATTACTCTTTTTAAAAAGTTGGAATATAATCATCTCATTGTCACTAATTTTTTTTTGCAGGGGGAGAGTTGGGAGTCTCATGCTGTCACCCAGGTTGGAGTACAGTGGCATGATCATCTCATGCCGATCACAGCTTACAGCAGCCTCGACCTCCTGGGCTCAGGCCATCCTTCCACCTCAGCCTCCCAAGCAGCTGCAACTACAGGCGTACCTAATTTTTTTAATGACTAATTTTTAAATTTTTGTAGAGAGGTGGTTTTGCTATGTTGCCTAGGCCGATCTCAAACTCTTGGACTCAAGCAAAGCGCTGGGATTACAGGTGTGAGCCACCGTGCCCAGCCTCAATGTCACTATTAAATGGTTCTTTTCATGTTTAGTTTTTAAAAAAATTTCACTTTATTTTCCTAACAATTTTGCAGAATGTGTTCAATTTTTAAAATAAATTTGCAAGTTTAAGACTTGTAACATGCATTTAAAATGTGTCAAGTATATGCTTTTATTGCTTTCAATTTTACTGAATGAATTTGGAATGTGTATTACTTGAAATAAACGGTGCTGTCATCTGACCGTGTGGCGGCCGTCAGGAGGCCCTCAGACCCTGGCACAGAGCACCCTCCCCAAAGCCTTTTGGGCAGGCACAACCTGGGTCCAACCAGGCCTCTCCAATGCATGGGCGAGGCGGAAAAGCAGAAGGAGGCATGCTAACCGGCAGAGGAGACAGTGCCAGGCACTGGGCAGGTTCTGCTGTGAGCGGGTGGTGCCCGCTCCCACCCCCTGGGTCAGGAAGACACACCACAACTTCAGCCTCTGCTGCCTTCTTGCTTCCTGCCATTGGACCTCGAGACCTGGTGTGGAATGGGAAAGCCCCCTCAAGCCCTCTGCCGACCGCACCCTGGGCTCGCACTGCCTGCTCACCGATTTTCATCTGGAAGTTGTTGAAGGAGTGCTCGTTGATGTACTTCATCTGGTCCATCAGCTTCATGGCAAAGTCGGCCAGAGCCTTGATGTGGGTCTTGCCCGCCTTGTCGTAGGTGGAGTCGTTGAGGCCTGAGGCGGCCATGTAGGTGCTGCCGATGGTCTTGATCTTTTCCAGCTGCCTGAATCGATCCTCACTGATAATCTGGATGGAAGGGGGAAATGTGGAGGCCAAGCCTGGGTCACCCTCCAGTCTGGCATACTGAGGATGTCCAGGGAAGAGCAACGGGATGTCCCCTCATGTGTCCCCTCTTCACACAGCGGGGCCTCTCCGCATCCTCATCAGTGCGATGCTTGCGATGCTTAAGACAAAGCCAGGCCTCCTCCACACTCACCTACCTGCTGGACAGTGACTTGTCACCTCTGGGTCTCCTGCCGCCAACAGGGGCTGGATGGCTATCTCCCCTTCGCAGGTGCACGCCCCCATCCTGTGCAGGGAAACCTTATCTTTGTCCAGCAGGATGCCCTTTTCCCATCTCCCGACCCATTTTGGCCAACTCCAGGCCCCCCACTTCCCCAGAAGTCTTGTATGTCATTCCTGACACTGCACTGTCCCAGCTCCATTAACCCTCTCCTCCCTGCACTCTGAGCCCAGGCAATGCACTCCTGCTGGGGTGGCCCCTCTCTTGCTTATTGCTCAGTGGGCTCTGGGGTCGAGACCACCCACACAGTGGGTGCTCAACAAGGGTACAGAAAAGAAATGACGACATCTCGCTTCTGCCTCCGCTGCTCAGGGTCTTGCATCGTTGCCCCGCCTCCTCCCTTAGCCTGGGGATGCCTTCCTTTGCTCTCTCAAAGCCCTAAGCACAGACATTGGGCTGTCCCAGGTCCTAGAGACACATCCACTCTAGATGGCATGAGAGGAGTGGTGGTTGGTGAGTCAGCCAGGCAGGGCCCGGAAGGTTCAAGTTCAAACAGCCTGGGTTGAAACCCCAGTGCTGTCACTTACTGGCAGCAGCCTCAGGCCAGACACTTAAAGTCTGTGGGTCTGTTTCCTCATGTCACATGATGGAAGGCGCCTAATGCAGTGCCTGGGACCCAGGCTCTGGCCGCCAGGGCTCTCATCACCACTGTTCACATCTGGATAGTGGAAGGGGACCCCCGAGTCTCTTCACAACCTTCCCAAGCCTGGCCCCACCCCGCTGACACACACCTCGTCAAAGTCAGCGATGATTTCATTGAGCAGGCGCAGGCACTCGACGCCCTCATTGTTGGCCTCCAGCTCCACATAGAACTCGGAGAAGTTGGCAATGGAGGCGAACATGACGGCCACGCACTCGCAGGACTGGTAGTAGAGCTCGTCGTTGCGCCGCTCGCGGGCCAGGAAGTGGGCGGCCACGTCCTTGGGCAGGATGTTGTGCAGCAGCCGCCTGTTGTAGGCCTGCAGCTCTTCCATCTCCTCTTTCTCCTCTGTGGCCTGGGACGAAAAGACAGTGTGAGTCCCACAAATGCCAGCGTGAGCCCAGATGTCTGCACGTGCTAGCCGTCTCCCCTCCTCTCTCTGCTGCTTCTGCTTCCAGGTTTTTTCTGAAGAGCATCACTTTGAAAATCAGGAAAGAGAGACATTGGGCCAGGAGTGTGGAGGCTCACACCTATAATCTCAGCACTTTGGGAGGCCAAGGCAGGAGGATTGCTTGAGCTCAGGAGTTTGAGACCAGTCTGGCAACATAGTGAGACCTCGTCTCTACAAAAAAATAGGAAAATTAGCGGGGTGTGGTGGCGCACGCCTATAGTCCCAGCTACTCATGAGGCTGAGGCGGAAGGATCCCTTGAGCCCAGGAGGTCAAGGCTACCATGAGCCTGGCCTGAGGGACTTTACTCCAGCCTGGGTGACAGACCCTGTCTGAAAGGAAGGAAGAAACAAAAAAGGAAGGAAGGGAGGGAAAGGAAGGGAAGGACGAAAAGAGAGACGTTTAGAAGTGTCTAACTCTCCTGCCTGCCTCTTTGAGGGTGAGGCACTTGCGGGTGCTGCTCCTGGAGGGGAGCTCTGAGTAGAAACGGGCCTCAAGGAGAGGCTGAGAGGGTCCTGTCTGCCCAAGCCTAGAACTCAGCTGGAGACAGCAGGGATGGGCCAGGACACACCCAGGTAGCCTCCTGGCCCCACCCCCCAGCTCCCCAAGCACTTCTTAGCGTTCATTTTCCTCTATCAGGAAATGTCATCAGAAAAGCAGTTTGGCAAGGATGACTTTAGTTGGCTGACCCCTCAGGGGAAAATGGCCCAGAGCCCTGCCCAGCCTCCACCTCCCATGAGGGCAGATTTGCCCCAGAGCCTGACGCAGCCAGAAGGGGCAGGTGCCATGAGGTGCCAGATGGAGATGGGACATCACTGTCGACTTTAAGGTTTTCTCCCCGTTTGGGGCCTGGGTCTGGACAGCTGGACTTTGTGGTTACTTTCACCCCCCAAGTTAAAGGGACAGTGCATAGATAGCCCTTGGGTCAAGAGGCCAGCAGTGGCCTACAAGGGGCTGAAGCGAAGAGACAGTCGTGTATGTGATAAGAAGCCACCTGATCAGAATGTTCATGGGATGACAGGGTGGTCAGCTGGCTTCCCCACCCTTGGGAGCAGACAACATGACCCCCTTTAACCAGGAGTGACTGTGCTGGTGAAGCAAGCAAGGAGAGAGTCATGAGTGGGTTATCTGAAAGGTCTGTCCAGCCTGCTGGGCCCTTCCTAACCACATGCAGACACTTTCTATTGGGCTGCAACTGGACTTCAATAGGACCAGGACTTCCTCTCAGAGTCCTGGCTCTCTCCACGAGCAGTGGCTGTCATGGGGAAGAAGCTGCCACCTCTTCCCAAGGCTATAGGACCTGGGTCCAGCAGGGAGAAACAGCTCCCAAGGCAGAAACTCCAGGACTCCAAGGCTCAGCCAAGCCCTACACCTGAGCTGAAAGTTCTCCTGACTGTGCTGCCCATGGCCTGGTGGACACTTGGAGCCACTGGGAACGTGGCTGCAAGGACTGAGGTTATGCCTGAGGAAGCTCCTGGACTCTAAAGGACCTCACCTTCCACCTGCCACCTTCAGATGCCAGGTGGGCTCAACTGAAGTGGGCCATCTTCCTGCCCAGCCTACCAGCCCAGGTGACCTACACTCCTGTGAGGCAGGACCCCTGACCATGCCCCCAACATGAATAAGCCCACTGTGCCTAGCTCTGGAATAGATGTGCCTGAGGGAGGAGGCTGGGGATTCCTGTACTTCTCTTCAAGGACTGTGCCATGGGGAGCCCCAGAAGTTGGTCCATCTGCCTCTGAAAATGCACCAGACTCAGCTCCTACCTCTGGCTGAGACACAAGCCTAGGGGCCCAGGAAGGCCCAGGAGACCCCAGCTCCTTTCATCTGTTCAGTGGGTTGTAGGTGCCTTTTCCAGAGAGCAGCTATCTAAAGTGTGGAGGGCAGAGTGGAGGTGGCAGGGGCGGGGCAGGCTTAATCCCCCGGCCAGCCAGGCGCTCCCAACACATCTGGAACTCTGCCCCAACACAGGTGGGAGGCTGCCAACATGACCAAATTGCTTCTTGGGCTGGGCCTTGCTGGGCAAGAAGGTTCAGAGCTCTGTAGCCTTCTGTTGGTCCTAATAAGGTCAGAGCTGGAGGAGGGGGAAACAGCAGGCTCTCCAGAGAAGTGATGCTTGGCGGTTAGGCCAGGAGAGGGCCTGGCGGGTCCTGGGGGGCCTGTCTGTTGTGCAGGCACTTCAGGAAAGCTGAGAAGCCCAGGCTGCCCACCTCCCTATCTGCACCACACCCACCTACCCGCCCCACTGCACAGGGGCTGCTGGGAGGGCTTGGGGTGGGGCAGAGGCTATCACTCCTCCACCCCAAAGGCCTGCTTTCAGGGGTTTGTTTATTGATATTTACTTGATGCCTCCCCCCGCCCTCCCAAAAGCCCAAGAGAAGGACGAGAGAATGAGGGACCTGCTGGCACCATGAGCCTGTTAAAAGCTTCAGTGGAGACAGGTTGCCATAGGCTGGCAGGTAGAGACAGTCTCACCTCCACACTTACACACACACACACACACACACACACACACACACACACACACTCATATACTCATGTACATGTGTATACACACAGGCGGGGACAGGGCAGTGCTGGTCAGTCACTTTCCCTTCTGGTCCTTCCTCTTCCCTCCCTGTGTGGAACCCAGAAGAAGCAACGTGATGAGGAGAGGTGGCCCAGTGTGCAAGGAAGTAGGGTGGAAGGAGGGGAGAGGACAGGGGAGGGGGTTGGATGTGTTGGGTAATCAGTGAGCAAATAAATAAACATATGAAAGTAATGGGAGGTGTTTCCCACTCCCAGAGATGAAGCTTGCAAGCATGGTGAAGGAGTGGCTAGGAAGATGCCTGCAGTATTAGTTCAAAAGGAATGAACTCATGATTCAAACATGTATACAGAGGATGCCAAAAAATGTATACACAATTAAAGTTGTAAGACTCAATATATACCTGCCTGTTGCATGGCGACGCTAGCATTCATCTGATTAATGCCATTTTTTGAGCAGGCATCATACTACACATTGCTACTGTAATTCAATTCAACTTCAAAAAGTAATACATAGATAACATCTCTTAAAATGTGTATACATTTTTTGACACCCCCGATATATACAGATATAGATATACACACACTTATATGTATACACAGATAGAAGTAGCAAAGACGCCGGGCTCAGTGGTTCAGCCTGTAATCCCGCGCCTTTGGGAGGCTGAGGTGAGTGGATTGCCTGTGCCTGCGGGTTCGAG